ATTTTTATTAATAGTTAATTTGTTCCTATTTGTTTCCTATTACTGTAGTATTAAATTACTTTTAAATAGTTTTAAATGTGGGAAATCATTAATTAAAAGGTTATTAGAAAATTAAGCTAATACATTAGTTTATAAACACTATTAAATCGCTTGAGTAAAATATTAATATAGTGTTATACATTTGTTACATGTAAAAAGATTTTTATTACATATAATGTATTATTGCCTATATTAACTTGCTATTATTTCCTTCATCATAAATTAATCCATTATATAAATTAAACCTGTCCAAATGAGATCATTCAGCAAGGCCAGCAAACGAGTATCTGCCATATTATTGTCAGATAATAATGACTGATCAGCTATAATGACTGATTAAAAACTGTTCACTCTATTATATTGAATGGTGATCGGGAAACAATGCTCCCCATTCGGCTGTCTCAATCGCAATATTTGTGAAATAAAGTAAAGTAAACACTATTGTTTATTGTGTACAATATTTATTAACCATATATATCAAAATATATCGATGACGATGTCCAAAAAGACGTTATAACTTTAACATCCATCGTAACCATATATGGTTTGCCTAGATTGTGTGTCCTAGATTGTGTGCGCCTAAAACGTGTGTGGTTCTGCGGGCCTGCAGCTGGATATTATTGGTATTTATAGTAACTTAGGAATCATCTGATTGGTTAATAATAAATTGGATAATGCAGAACCAGCCGCAAGCAATCATAAGCACATGATCCTCTCGAAATTAGTTTATAAATAAACTTCACTTTATAAAATTAAAAACTGCTTTTACTCTAGCCGAAATAAAACAAATCAGACTTTCTCCAGAAGAAAAAATATTATAGGAGATACTGTGAAAAATTCCCTCCTCCGTTAAACAGCATTTGGTAAATATTTTAAAAAGAAAACACAAAAAATGAACAGGAGGCGAATCATTTTGACCAACTGTATCCGTATGGAGTATATCCTGTGTTATTGTTAATAAGTAATTTCCCCTGTATCTGTGACCAATCCTCCCTCAGCCAATGGTGTGCGAGAGGGGGAGTGTCACCTCAGTCTGACAGTCCAATGGGCTTGCGGATCAGATGTTGGCCTCCAGCAGCTCCAGGAAGAGTTTGTGCATTGGGACGCGTCCGTCCTGTTTGATGCTGCAGAAATGACGAACGGCTTTAGCGGAGGTTTGGCGGAGCAGCGGGAGAGTCATGATGAGTTTTCCTGCCCGTCGAGGGTCCTCACTGTGATGCACACACTCGTAATCCAGCAGAGCCTCGTGCAGGGCGTCCTGAAGACCCTGAACCGCCTCCACGTCCTCAATGTGCATCGAGTCTGAGAGAGGAAATCAACCAACATTTCAGACTTTTACTAGTGCTGGGAAAAGAGTAATCGCATCCAAAATTAGAGAATCAGAAAGAGATTTATTCGGCAAGTGCGCGCAAACTTTTATTGTCATACTACCAAAAGCAGCAGCAAATAGTTTACCTTAGATCTTGAAACTAAAACAACTAGCAAACATTCATTCAATCATTTTTTTTTTTTTCCGTCTTAATCCCTTTATTAATCCGGGGTCGCCACAGCGGAATGAACCGCCAACTTATCCAGCCCGTTTTACGCAGCAGATGCCCTTCCAGCTGCAACCCATCACTGGGAAACATCCACTACGGACAATTTAGCTTACCCGATTCATGCATGTGTTTGGAAAGCCATTCTGACTTCAGCTGTATGTTAAAAATGCATTACACATCGATCATGGAGATCAGTGTGTGCAAGCAAGTCTGACCTGAGTTAGCGAGAGCGATGGCCTTCAGAGTGACGAACTCTTCTCTCTCCAGGCTCATGCATCTGTATCTGCGCACCAGCTGTAATATGGCCGTGTGCAGCTCCAGCAGACCGGCACATTTGGCCTGTTCCGCATCCATGATGTAATCGTCCGCAAACAGCAGCCTGTCGTCGCAGGGCAGAGAGCGAAACGCCACCCGCAGGACCAGAATCTCCATCCAGGCGCTCTGTAGGAGACTCATCTGATCCGACAGTGAGAGGCTGGAGAAACCTGACACAGACACACAACAGACATCAGAAAAATAAAGAACTTTTCAGTCTATCTTTCGGCTAAACAATACCTACAAAAATGTATTCAGACACTGTATAAACAGTCAATAAACAGTCAAACCGGAAATTATCCATACCCCTGGCAAATTCCCAGCGTGGCCAGTTGGCATTTCTGACAATGTGGAAAAAAGAGTTTTTGAAAAAAACCTGAAAAATCAGATGTACATCAGTATTGACAGCCTTTGCCATGAAGCTCTAAATTGAGCTCAGGCACATTCTGTTTCCACTGATCATTCTTGAGATGTTTCAGCAGCTTAAATGAAATTCACCTGTGGTCAATTCAGTTGATTGGACATGATTTGAAAAGGCATTCACCTGTCTATATAAGGTCCCAGGGTTGACAGTGCATGTCAAAGCACAAACCAAGCATGAAGACAAAAGAATCCTCCGAGACAGGATTGTTTTGAGGCACAAGGCTGGGGAAGGTTACAGAAAAATTTCTGCTGCTCTGAAAGTTCCATTGAGCACAGTGGCCTCCATCATCCATAAGTGGAAGATGTTTGAACCACCAGGACTCTTCCTGGAGCTGGCCGGCCATCTAAGCTGAGTGATCGGGGGGAGAAGGGCCTCAGTCAGGGAGGTGATCAATAACCCGATGGTCACTCTGTCTGAGCTCCAGCGTTTATCTGTGCAAAGAGGAGAACCTTACAGAAGGACAACCATCTGTGCAGCAATCCACCAGTCAGGCCTGTATGGTAGAGTGGCCAGACGGAAGCCACTCACCGCCTGGAATTTGCCAAAAGGCATCTGAAGGACTCTCAGACCATAAGAAACTAAATTCTCTGCTCTGATGAGACTAAAATTGAACTCTTTGGAGTGAATGCCAGGCGTTACAATTGGAAAAAACAAGGCACCACTTATCACCAGGCTAATACCATCTCTACAGTGAAGCATGGTGGTGGCAGCATCATGCTGTGGGGATGTTTTTAGGACAGGAGGAACTGGACGACTAGTCAGGATAGAGGGAAAGATGAATGCAGCAATGTACAAAGACATCCTGAATGAAAACCTGCTTCAGAGTGCTCTTGACCTCAGACTGGGGCGGCGGTCCATCTTCCAGCAGGACAATGACCCAAAGCGCACCGCCAAAATATCAATGGATTGGCTTCACAACAACTTGGTGAATATCCTTGAGTGGCCCAGCCAGAGCCCAGACCTAAATCCTATTGAACATCTCTGGATAGATCTGAAAATGACTGTACACTGTCACTTCCCATCCAACCTGATAAAGCTTGAGAGGTGCTGCAAAGAGGAATGGGCAAACATTCCCAAAGACAGGTGTGCCAAGCTTGTGGAATCATATTCAAAAAGACTCAAGACTGTAATCGCTGCCAAAGGTGCATCAACAAAGTATTGAGCAAAGGCTGTAAATACTGATGCACATCTGATTTTTCAACTTTTTTATTTTTAATAAATTTGCAACAATTTCACAAACTCTTTTTTTCACATTGTCATAATGGGGTATTGTGTGTAGAAATTTGAGGAAATAAATTAATTTAATCCATTTTGGAACAAGCCTGAAACATTAAAAAATGTGGAAAAAGTGAAGTGCTATGAATACTTTCCGGATGCACTGTATGTGTATAAATTGTTATGTGTGTGTGTCAGTGTCAGCTGAATCTCTCTCCTTCTCCTCTATAGTTAATTAAAGCAGCAGTGATGTGATGTTTATCAGCTGACTGACGTTCATTAGCTGATTGGATCTCTGCGCTGATCGAGCGAGAGCTGAACACTGAGTTACGCATCGACATTTGTGAAACATGTTAACAGACTCAAAGGGGCATCGTGACACTTAAACAACACCAGTGAAAAACACCCAGCTGTTTAAATCAATGATGTCATCTATTATTGTACAGCCAGCTTCAGACGCCAGAGGAAAGACAAAGCTGTTGTCACGCACACACACATACACACTAATGCATTGTTGACATGAACACAAAACACCACTCATCTATATGTTAAATACACACACACCTGCATGCACACACATATGCCTTGGATTAAATGTGTCCAAGTTTTAGAAACACCAAATAATAACTTGACTTCTAGTTGATCATTCAGTATTAGAAGTGGCTTATATGAAAGGCAAAATCCTCTAGATTACACTTATTTGACCAAAATAAAATATGATCATGCCTTGATTTTTACTGATTTCATTAGGACAGTAAGGTCTGACTTTGCTTAGACAAAAGTCTTGTCACTTAACAGAAGAAATAATTTACAGTATAGAATATAAAGTCATGTTGCAGTGGAAACAGAATGAATATTGTGTCTGACTCCATCATGAGCTTGGAGGACTGCATTCATACATCTCTGACTCAAATCACTGATTAATAAAGTCATCTGGAATGGCAAAGAAAGCGTTCTTGCAGGACTCCCAGAGCTCATCAACATTCTTTGAATTCTTCTTCAATGCCTCCTTCATTTTACCCCAAACATGCTCAATAATGTTCATATCTGGTGACTGGGCTGGCCAATCCTGGTGCACCTTCACCTTCTTTGCTTCTTTGATGTGGAGGCGGAAGTATGAGAAGGAGCGCTATCCTGCTGGAGAATTTGCCCTCTCCTGTGGTTTTTAATGTAATGGGCAGCACAAATGTCTTAATAGCTCAGGCTGTTGATGTTGCCATCCACTCTGCAGATCTCTCGCACACCCCCATACTGAATGTAACCACGAACCATGATTTTTTTTTCACCAAACTTGACTGATTTCTGTGAGAATCTTGGGTCCATGCGAGTTCCAGTTGGTCTTCTGCAGTATTTGTGATGATTGGGATGCAGCTCAACAGATTATTCATCAGAAAAATCGACCTTCTGACACTTCTTTTCCAAATGACCAACTAGAAGTCAAGTGATTATTTGCTTCTCTTACAACTGAGATCAACGACAAGACTTTTATCAGGTAGTGTATAATTAATATATATATATATATATATATATATATATATATATATATATATATATATATATATATATATATATATATATATATA